GAGAGAGAGAGACAGAAAGCGAGAAATCCCCCCCCAGGGGGGATGGTCACGCCGCAATCCCTTCTCCTCCATTCTCCTCTCGGGATCTTGGGCACGCACGCACACACGCCTGGCGTGAGTTTTAAGCCACCAGGTCCGGGACACGAACTGCCGTCGACTATGTGGAAGTCCAGCGACATAGCCATTACGCTAACTGCTGGTTCCCACAGGCATGTACTTTTAATATAAAATTTTAAAGCATGCTAAATCAAAAGATAAACAAAAGAAAAAAATTACTGGATTCCTAGAGTACAAATATTCACATGTTAACTACATTATTGGTCTTCAAATATTTTCAGTTTTAAAAATTTAAGTTTTAAAATATTTCATGAAAATTAAATACCCAATATATGATTCAGAACCTCAAAATAATGTGATTTTCTCTAACTTTGGTAGAATGCACACAAACCATAGCAGCTGTCTTTTAAGAGAAATTTGAGGGATCAGCAGGCAGCGTGGTGATTAAGGCTGGCCATAGTTCAAGTCCTGGACCTGGCAGCTTGCTTTCTCACTTTTCTTGCTGTCTCTCTCTGGTGAGTATATATGCCTATGGGAAACTTAAAAATAATAATAAAAATTAAATTAAATGGATAATTCTTTTAAAATAAAAGAGAAATTTGAAACTTTTACCATTGTTCAATGATGCAACCATAATCGGAAGCGTTTTAGAAATCATCATTTACAAATTGACTTAGGACCATAACATGGAAACAGTAACAGTATCTATGGAAAGCAGCGGTAAGGGCTAAGTGGCTGCATGTGTAAAATACGAGCGCAGTGCCCGGACGGAGTAGGAACGAAGAACGTGCCGCTGCTGCATTACCCCCGTCGTCGTCATCGTCATCAACATCGACAGTCAATCCCACGGGCCTAGAAGACGCTCACTCTACTTCTGACAAAAAGCAGCATTTTGCAGCCACTGTGGCTCGGCTTCCCCCCACCGCTCCGTGGGCCCACTGTGGCGCCCCTACCACTCACTGCTCAGTGAGCAGCCTCACTATTTCCTTACCGTCCTTGCAAGTTCTTGAAGGTGTGTTAAGTCACTGGCCTTTGCGGCTTTGAGAGCATTTAGTTCATTCTGTTTCGTTTCTGTGTCTTTATCGAATTTCTCCATCCAGAACTCCAGCTTCTCCTCAAGTTTCTATTTGGAAAGAACATTAAAACATTTCACCAGGCAGAAATCAGTTTGATGGCAATTTTTTTTTTTATTTTATTTTTTGAAAAGGTAGCCAATATTTTTCCTACAAACCAACCAAAAACATCTCTGCCCCTGAGGCACAGGTGGTAGCTCGTTGCTCTGCAGTGCTGGAAGCAACGTGGCTGACTACGGGTTTGATCCCAAGATGACCTGAAACACACCAGGCCTGTAGGTCCAAGATGCTGACGAGTTGGAGGGCCATGGCAAAGGGAGGGCAGGGAGACAAGATCTTGTTGAGGGCGCCGATCTCTCCCCTCTCTCTCCTTCACTCTCTCTCATGAAAGAAATAAATAAACTTAAGGAAAAAGGTATCTAGAGGGACCAACAGATGGCATAGCAGTTACATCACTGGACTCCCATGTAGCTGACTACAGTTCGAGTCCCAGACCCAGCTGCTTAAAACTCATGCTGGGGGGCCAGCAGGTGGTGTGGTGGTGAAGATGCTGGATTCCCACATGGCCAACTGTGGCTCAAGTCCCAGACCTTGTGACTTGAAAATCATGACAAATAAATAAATAAATGTTTTGGGGGCCAGCAGATGGTTTGGTGGTTAGGGGTGCTAGATTCCCACAAGGCCGACTGCAGTTTGGGTCCTGGACCTGGCAGCTTGGTTTCTCCCTTTCCCTTTCTCTCTCTCTGATTAAATTTTAAATAAATTAAATAAATAAATAAATTAATTAATTAAATTAAATGCATGGATAATTCTTTAAAAAATAAATAAATAAACCTCCACATTGGGTGTGTGTGCACGCACGTCCAAAATCCAAGCAGAAAATGGAAAAGGCATTGCGGTGTGGCCATCGCCCCAAGGGATGATTTCTCACTTTGTTTCTGTCTCTCTGACAAGCACACGTGCCCTGTAACAAAAATCTCTTTTGGGACCAGCAGTTATCATAATGGCTATGTCGCTGGACTCCCATGTAGTCGACCATGGTTCAAGTCCCAGACCCGGTGGCTTAAACTCATGCCAGGTGCGTGTGCGTGCGTACGTGCCCAAGATCCTGAGAGGGTAATGGAGAAGGGATTGCGGTGTGGCCATCCCCCCTGGGGGGTGATTTCTCGCTTTCTATCTCTCTGTCTCTGGCTGGCTGGTGAGCACACATGCTCTATAGCAAAAACCTCTCAAAAAAAAAATCTCTTTTAAAAAAAAATTTTTTTGAGAGGTTTTTGCTATAGGGTGTGTGCGTTCGCCAGACAGACAAGAGAGAGACAGAGAGACAGAAAGCAGGAAATCACCCCCGGGGGGGTGGCCATGCCGCAATCCCTTCTCCTCCATTCTCCTCTCGGGATCCTGGGCACACACGCACACGGAACCGGCGTGAGTTTAAGCCACCGGGTCCTGGACTCGAACCGCGGTCGACTACGTGGGAGTCCAGCGACATAGCCATTACGCTAACTGCTGGTCCCTTAAAAAATTTTTTAAAAAAGGAAAGAAAGAAAAGAAAAACTGCTTAGATAAAACTGTTCATGGCTAAATTTACCAAGCTTCAATGAACAGATAACCTGCTTTGTTCTATTTATATTTTTAGGTTTTTAGAGCATAAGAAGATGGAAAACTTCCAACTCATGCTGCCTCGCTAGTGTCTGAGAGCAATAAAACAAAGTATCACCGAAAAAATTGAAAGATTATTCTCATTTCTGGAATATATGAATACAAAATAAAACTATAAATCAATACTAGCAGTTGATTAGAAGAATAATACATGAGTAAGCAGGTTTTATTAAAAATTTAAAGATGACTCGGCATCAACAAATTTATTAGTGTGTTTTACTTAATTAGCATACTCAAGGAGAAAAAAAGTATTTCAATCAATGAAAAAGATCCATCTCATAAAATTGAATGCTCATCCTATTTTGTTGTTGTTGCTTTTTGTTTTTTTTTTTTTTGGAGAGATTTTCACTGTAGGGCGCGTGCGCTCGCCAGACAGACAGAGAGAGACATAGAGACAGAAAGCGAGAAATCACCCCCCAGGGGGGATGGTCACGCCGCAATCCCTTCTCCTCCATTCTCCTCTCGGGATCTTGGGCACGCACGCACAAGCGCCCAGCGTGAGTTTTAAGCCACCGGGTCCAGGACACGAACCGCGGTCGACTACGTGGGAGGCCAGCGACATAGCCATTACACTAACTGCTGGTTCCCATTGTTGCTTTTTGTTATAGGACTTGTGCACATGGCCAGAAAAGGAGAGAGGGAAAGTTGAGAAATCACCCCCCAAGTGTGGCCAAGCCACAATCCCTTCTCCATTCTCCTCTCGGGATTGAGAATACACACACACACTTCTCACTTTCCCTCCCTCCATCTCTCTCTGGCAAATGCACATGCCCTATAGCAAAATTTTAAAAAAATAATTGTTTTTATAAATAACAAAGTTTTAGTGACGCACCTGCTGCTCCTTCCTAAGGAATGATTCAATCTCCATGTGAATCCGGTTCTCTTCTTCGGTCTTCATCCTTAGTTTCTGTAAGAACAATAATCAAAGGCCGGCAGGTGGCATAGGGGTTAAGGTACTGGACTCCCACATGGCCAACACTGAGTCTTTTTTTTTTTTAAGATTATCTAACAACTTTGTTTTTTAAGATTTATGCATTCATTTATTTTAATTTGACCAGAGAGAGATGCAGAGAATGAGAGAAGGAAAGTAAGAAAGCAAGCCACCAAGTCCAGGACTCAAACCTTGGTCAGCCATGTGGGAGTGTCCAATGCCTTAACCACGACACCACCTGCTGGGCCAAGCATTGAGTCTTAAACCCCATGGCTTGAAAATCAAGCTGGGCATATGTGCGCGTGTGCCTAAGATCCCAGGATGCAAGTGGAGGAGAAGGGATTGCATCACAACCATCCCCCCGGGGGTGATTTCTCACTTTCACTCTCCTTGTCTCTCTCTCATCCACGTCCTATGGCTCAAAAAAACTTAAAAAAAAAAAAATCAAATGCCAGGAGTTCTTCCTGGCTAGGTTGGGAATCAGAAGTTCTCAGGAGCTCTTTTGTCCAGGAACGGCCATCTTTCAGTAATTAATCAAAATGAACACAAAGTGAAAGAGGAGAGGCACCCGAGATTTTTTCTCTTAAGTCAGCTTTCAAATTAGCAGAGGTCTCAGAAAAGCTTCCCCGCACCGCGACGCCCACGGACGGTGGTCCGCCTGCCTGTCTCTTCAACCTTCAGCCTTCCTCCTCTAATGAACGTGCACCTCTTCCTTACTCTAGATATTTTTCACTTTCACTTCTATGTTCACAAATTTAGATTTGAACAAAGTTTGGCTCTCTAGATTTGGTATTTCTTCCTGGAAGAGTAACAAGGTTCCAGTTGGATGACAACTAATTATCTTGTTTTGCCTTCTCCCTATCATGACCAAGAGAAATGGCGAGTGGTAGAAAATCCGAGGAAAAGACCCAAGGGAGAAAGTTCAAACAACTTTCAAAGTCATTATAAGGGAAGCATGAACAAAGCTTCATCCCATCAGGAGTTCTGGTTCTTGGGGGCCAGCAGGTGGCATGGTGGTGAAGGTACTGGACTCCCAGGTGACCGACTGAAGTTTGAGACCCAGACCTGATGGTTTGAGAATCACACAGGCTGTATGTGCGTGAGCGCGAAGACCCTGAGAGGAAAATGGGAGAGGGGATTGCAGCGTGCCCATCCCACGGGAGGTGATTTCTCACTTTCTCACCTTCCCTCTAGCTGACTCTCCCTGACTCTCTCTGGGGAGTACATCCCCTATGGCAAAAACGTAAAAAAAAAGAAAGGCGCTGGATCCCACATGGCCAGCTCCACGATTCAAGTCCTGGACCTGGCGTGTTTGGGTATCGTATGCGTCACTGCCCAAAATTCTGAGAGAAGGGACTGCGGCCTGAGTCTTTCACCTTGGGATTGATTTCTCACTTTCCTTTATCTCTGTCTCGTCTCTCTTCAGAGAAAGCTCACACAACCTATGGCCAAAAAATCTAAAAATAATAATAATAATTAAAAATCTGTGCTTTAGGACCAGCACATGGCGTAACGGCTATGTCGCTGGACTCCCATGTAGTTGAGCGCAGTTCGAGTCCCAGACCTGGTGGCTTAAACTCACGCTGGACGCGTGTGCATGTGTGCCCAAGATCCCGAGAGGAGAATGGAGGAGAAAGGATTGTGGTGTGGTCATCCCCCCTCGGAGGTGATTTCTCGCTTTCTGTCTCTCTCTCTCTGTCTTTCTGGTGAGTGCACGCGCCCTATAGCAAAATCCTCTCCAAAAAAAAAGTAAAAAAAAAAAAAAATCTGTGCTTTGTAAATATGTAGCTCTTCATTGAGTCTTTTATTTTTAGCAAACGTTGGGGCAGCTAGAGAGATAGATGGAAGAAAATGGCCCCCTTCCTTTGTTAATTGAGACAAGGCTGGAGAGTCAGCCGACATGTCACCTATTTCAATAGCTGGTTCTTTCCTAATTTAGTAGTAATTACCTCAATCTCCTCCAGCAAAAGCTCCTCTGTTTTGTTACATTTTTTCTGGGTCTGGGCAATCTGAAGCTCAGTGTTTTTTTTCATATAGCAATTCTCCAAGTTGGTTTTTGCCTTCAACTCTTGCAATTGGTCCTTGAGATGAGCGATATATTCATTCCGACTCTGTAGAAGAAAGACCAGAGTTCTATGTTAAAAATATATCCCCTCTTGGGACTAGCAGTTGGCATAATGGCTATGTCACTGGACCACGGTTCAAGTCCCGGACTCAGTGGCTTAAACTCACACCGGGCACATGTGCGTGAGTGCCCAAGATCCCAAGAGGAGAATGGAGGAGAAGGGATTGTGGTGTGGTCATCCCCCCTGGGGGTGATTTCTCACTTTCTGTCTCTCTCTTTCTGTTTTTCTGGCCTTTCTGGCGAGAACACGCGCCCTATAGTTAAAACCTCTCAAAAATAAATAAATAAATAAATAAATAAGAAAATTCTAAAGGCTCCATCCAGCCTAGCAGGTGTTGAAAGTGGGACAAGATGAGGTTGGAGAGGGAGGTAAGAACCACACAGGACCTATCAGGAAGTCAAATTGTATTACAAGTGACATGGGAATCCTTGGAAAGGTTTGAGTCAGGAGTGTAACTTTGGTTTGGAAAACACTTTGAAGGGGCCAGTAGGTGGCACAGTGGTTAAGGCACTGGACTCCCACATGGCTGCCCACGGTTGGAGTCCCATACTCAGATGACTGAAACTCATGCTGGGCACGTGTGCATGTGTGCCCACAATCCCAAAAGGAGAATGGAGGAGAAGGGCCATCCGCCCTGGGGGGATGATTTCTCTCTTTCTCTTTGTCCCTCTATCTCTGGTGAGCCCATGTACCTATAGAAAAAATATCTATAAGAAAAAAAAGAAAACACTTTGGAAAGAATCAATGCGTGAAGAACCTCACAGAGAGGTAATGAGAATTAGCTGACAGCGGGCCAGCTGGTGGCTTGGTGGTTAAGGAGGCTGCCCCCAAATGGCCAATTCTGCAATTCAAGTCCTGGACCCGGTGGCTTAAGAAACACACCAGAGCATCTGTGTACATACTCAAAATCCTAAGGAGAGAATGGAGCAGAGGGACTGCACCCCTGGGGGGTGCTTTCTCATGTTCCTCTTCCCTGTTAAATGAGCTGGACCCTGTATGGCAGACTTTGGTTCAAATCCCAAACCATGCCAGGTCATTTGAAAAACAGGCCAGGCAGTACATGTGTGCCCCAAAGGCCAACAGTATGGAGGGGAACTGATTGTGCTCTGACCATGCCCCACTGGGGAGTGCTGTGTCTCTGTCTCTCTGTCTCTGGCAAGTGAATGTGTCCTCTGGCAGTTAAAGAAAAAAAAGCATGGCTTCAATCAAAGATATATGTTTCTCTAAACAGCATCCACCCTTTTATTTATTTATTTTTGAGAGTGATTTTTGCTATAAGGTGCATGCACTCATTAAATATACAAAGACAGAGAGAGAGAGAAAGTGAGAAATCACTCCCCGGGGGGTTGGCCACACCACAGTCCCTTCTCCTCTTGGGATTTTGGGCACACACACACACACACACACACCCGGCATGAGTTTAAAGCTGCCAGGTCCAGGACTTGAACCATGGTCAACTACTCAGGAGTCCAATGCCTTAACCACCTGCTGGTCCCCACTTTTTTTTTTAAAGAATTATTTAATTTTATTTATTATCATTTTTTAAAAATTTTGACCAGAGAGATAGAGAGAAAATAAGAAAGCAAGCCGCCAGATCCAGAATTTGAACCATGGTTAGCCATGTTGAAGTCTAGGGCCTTAACCACCACACCACCTGCTGGCCCCCATTTTTTTTTTTAACTTGCTAGAGGGCACATGTGCAGGACAGGGAGAGAAAGTGAGGAAGTGGTGGACAGTTACGCCATAGTCCTTTCACTTCCATTTCTCCTTTTGGGATTTTGGGCACCCACGCATACATGCCTAACATGTTTTCCAAGCCACTGGTTCCAGGACTCAAACCATAAAGTCATTTCTGTGGGATCCAGCTGCTTTAACCACCACACCATCTACCTGGCCCAATAGCAACCACCTTTAATCTTACCATCTAATGGATTAAATTTGTTCTAAGTAACTATTAGAAGAAAACAGGGGCCAGCAGGTACCATGATGGTTAAGGGCGCTGGACTCCCACATGGCCAACCGTGGTTCAAGTCCCAGACCTGGCGGCTTGCTTTCTCACTTTCCCTCTCTCTCTCTCACTCTGTCCCTCTCTGGTCAAATTTAAGTAAATGTTAAATAAAATAATCTTAAAAAAAAAAAGAAGAAGAAGAAACAAAGAAATTGGTCAAACTCATAAGACACAAACATAGCTTAAAACATCCTAGGTCTGGGGACCAGCAGTTAGCGTAATGGCTATGTCGCTGGACTCCCGTGTAGTCGACTGCGGTTCGCGTCCCGGACCCGGTGGCTTAAAACTCACACCGGGCACGTGTGCATGTGTGCCCAAGATCCTGAGAGGAGAATGGAGGAGAAAGGATTGCGGCGTGGCTGTCCCCCCTGGGGGGTGATTTCTCACTTTCTGTCTCTCTGTCTGTCTCTGTCTGTCTGGCGAGCGCACACGCCCTATAGCAAAAACCTCTATCCCCCCACCCAAGAAAAAAACACCACCCTCGGTCTGGGCTGGCTCCGTGGTGCACTGGTAACATGCTGCTCATGAGAAGCTGCATTCTACACAGTTGAAATAACTGGCCTGTTCAGCCTGAAACACACCAGGCACACACGTAAGCACCCAAGAACAACAGGCTGCAACACTGAAGGAAGGTTATCGTGGCCTGACCAGACCCTGTGGGAGGTACTCGTGTCTCTCTCCCTTCTCTCATGTGCTCCATCAAAAATAGATTTGAAGTAACTGTAGGTCCCTAAGATTAATCAGAAAGGAAGTCTTCAAGTTATCTTGCCTTCTTTTTTTTTCTCTTTTTTTAAAAGTTTTTTTAAATTTAATTTTATTTATTAATTCATTTATTTTATTTATTTATTTACTTTATTTTTTGGAGAGGTTTTGCTATAGGGCGCGTGTGCTCGCCAGCCAGACAGAGAGAGAGTCAGAAAGCGAGAAATCATCCCCCAGGGGGGATGGCCATGCCATCCCATTATCTGACTTCTTAATGTACTTCTGTAGAATCATTCCAATTGCGTAACAATTACTCAGCTGTGTAAGACCCACTCCAAAGAGATGAGGGTCTCTGGCAGAGACTATGCGAAAGCCTAGTGGATCATATGTCTTAGTATTCCATATTTCTTAGTAGTGTAGGGTGGTGGGCAAGTTACTTAACCTTGCTAAACCCATTTTCTCATCTATAAAATCCTGCCCAGTGCCTGCTGGAACGCAGATGCTCAGTAAATACTTATTAAATGAAGATCCAAGAGATGTTGTTTAATTGCTTATTTTTCTCTTCCCTTCTTTCTACACTTGTCTCCCCTCTTCCTGTCTTCCCCATTTCTTTTCTTCCTCGTCTTTTCTCCCCATTTCTAGTTGTATGGACTCTCTATGAAGCAAGCGCAACTCCATTTTGAAAAGGTACTTCCATCTTAGAAATTGTGCCTCCTTCTCCCCCTCCCACTACAGTAGCTACTGTAGTAGGATCAACAGAAGCCCTAAGAAACAGTCCTTTACCAGGGGACCATGCCTGTTACCAGGGGAGCCATTAAGAGTCCATTGTGTTCAGGACATGTAGGAATGATTAACCTGTTTGCTTTGCTTCTGTAACTGGCGTTTTTTTTTTTTAGAGGTTTTTGCTATAGGGCACGTGCACTCGCCAGACAGAGAGAGACAGAGAGACAGAAAGCGAGAAATCACCCCCCCGGGGGGATGGCCACGCTGCAATCCCTTCTCCTCCAGTCTCCTCTCGGGATCTTGGGCACGCACGCACATGCACCTGGCGTGAGTTTAAGCCACCGGGTCTGGGACTCGAACCGAGGTCAACTACATGGGAGTCCAGTGACATAGCCATTACGCTAACTGCTGGTCCCATCTGTAACTGGCTTTTTTGCTTTAAAGAAAGCCCCTTCCAGGACCAGCAGTTAGGGTAATGGCAGTTTGCGTCCGGGACGCGGTGGCTTAAAAATCACGCCAGGCACGTGTGCGTGCGTACCCAAGATCCCGAGAGAATGGAGGAGAAGGGAATTGTGATGTGGCCATCCCCTCTGGGGGGATGACTTCTCGCTTTCTGTCTCTCTGTCTCTCTCTGTCTGGCGAGCGCACACGCCCTATAGCAAAAAACTCAAAAAAAAAAAAAAATAAAGCCCCTTCCCTTTGTTACTATCAACACGTCATCCTGAGATAAAGTGTGATTATAGCCTATATAATATATAAACTCCTTTTCTCCCTTCACTTGGGGCTGCGAGGTTTTCAGAGACATGAGTCCCCCCGTATGCCGCCGGTTTAGTCAATAAACTCCAATAAATTTGGATGTCCTCTTATTTCTTGCTGAGTAGACTATAACATCTAGAAAGATTTGAGTGGTTGGGACCAGCAGATGCCGTAATGGTGATGTCACTGGATTCCCATATAGTCGACTGCAGTTTGAATCCTGGACCAGGCACCTTAAAACTCATGCCAGGCATGTGTGCGCGTGGGCCCAAAATCCCGAGAGGAGAATGGAGGAGAAGGGATTGCAGGTGGCCATCCCCCCTGAGGGGTGATTTCTTGCTTTCCGTCTCTCTGGCAAGCACACACATCCTACAGTAAAAATCTCTCCAGAAAAAAAAAACAAAAAGTGCCGTACAAAAATACCTTCAGGGCTTGCCTAATAGTGCAGCAGTTAAGTGCTGTGTGGGGGAAGCTGGATCCCACATGGTTGAATGGGGTTCAAATCCTGGCCCTGGTGGCAGCATGCCAAGCACACATGCACAAGCCCAGGATCCCAGTGGGATGGAGAATTGGAGACAGAAAGGATTGCAGCACGGCCAGGCTCTGTTGGGGGATGCTTGTTTTCTCTCTCTCAAGTACGCACGTGCCCTCTGGCATTAAAATACAGATCTTCAAAAACTCAAGAGCCTATTTTTTTTTTAACTTTTTTTTTTTTTTTAGAGATTTTTGCTATAGGGCGCGTGCACTCACCAGATAGACAGAGAGAGACATAGAGACAGAAAGCGAGAAATCACCC